GGAATAAGGTTTGGCTGATTGGCCTCGTCGAAATGTACATACCTTCAAGGTCTCAGAATTTTCAACTTTTTCTTTCTATCCAAATCGCTTCACATGTTTTGCTGCACTTATCATCATAGCCACGCATGAACGACTAACGACAATGACAAGGAGATAACAATATCCAAAACAAAAGGCAAAATTTTACCGCTAATTTTACTCTTGGTCCGTGTTGCATTCGTCCATGACCCTCCTCGTCATTATTCTGAATGTTGTCAGAGCAAGAAGACAACGATTCACCGAGAGCTAACATTTGTATTGAGTGTTTCCATGGTATTCACAAATAGCATGCTACTTGGCCAAAAGGGAGAATAAAAGCACGGACTATCGACCTCAAAGTTGTTTTCTAGCTCTCACTCTACCGGGGTTCAAGAAACGGATAGGGTTGAATGACTACGCCAGCTTCTATCTGTTGTCGGGACGATGTGTCAAGGCTTTGGTAAAGAAGTGCAAATTTAGCGTTAGGATGTTTTTTTTTACCAGATTCAGAGCCTTCATCACCAGCAGGTTCAGAAGGCGCATCTCCATTTGCAACCACCTCCTCCTACCCGACACGGTTTGCGTCTGGACCTGGTGAATACTCCAGATATAACTTAGGTGGATTATTAGTGAGTACAAGAGGTTGTACTTTACTAGACTACGAATACTTGGTGACTCTTTAATGGTCTTAAATTATTAAGCGAATTATTCGAAATGGAAAGTTAGCAACTCGTTAAATCCTCAAGTTTATGACAAGCAGCTTCGGATTTAGACGATTCCAATGATTTTCAATATTGGTGTAGACTGAGTAGCCTAGGTCTAATAGTTTAAGCGATTAGCTCCACTACTTGCTACCCGTCTCGAGACCTTCTAGAGGTAAGTCTTCACCATTCTTGAGGTCACAAGTCCTCCTGTCCAGTCTGTATGAACCGAGATGTTAGGACACGTGTTCCACTGTTAGTGGAGAACAACGGACTTCATGAGTCGTTTAGTAATGACGATGAAAAGATTGCCAATCCAGGATGCTCCACTATAACTGAGAGGATTTAAGCAAGAAGGAAATCAGAATGGTGAAGTGGAGGGAAAGACCGAATAGGCCTGCATTTATCCATAGGTGTACAATGGAGCGAACGACAATGGAGGAAGGAGAAGCAGTGGTGATGGCGGTGGTGGTGAAGGCGAAGCCTACACTCCGGGAGCCGCCTTTCCAGATGCAGTTTGTTCTGAGAGCTCTGAAACTGGAGCTTATGGCACCAACTACATTAATGACCTTAAGATGAATGGCTCAGCAGCCTTCGTTCCACCAGGAGGAGGTGCAAGTGGCGCTTACTTCCCCAATCGAGTAATCGGTCCTCTCAATGGCCTAGATGGTGGAGGCAGCACGTCTCGAACCAAACGCGGCGTTCTACCAAAACGAGCCACTCAGGTCATGAAACAGTGGCTCTTTCAACATCTTGTGGTAGGTGGCCTCCTTCTATGTACCCATATGACAGTCACTTTCTCCCATAATGTCCTCTTCACTTCCAGCTATCGAAATAAAGATCCATCACCGTGACTGAGTTTGACTTCCTCTTAACTCAACAGCAAGCACTGGAGCAGAGAACACATAACCATTTTCTAATCACATTAGTTGTTATTACAACAAATCTTACTGGCCTTTATTGCTATTTTTAATAAATCCTTTGTTAGAAAGTAATCTTATTCGCATCATGATTGTTTCGTCATTTTAATGCAATAATATGATCACGTTTTGGTATCGGATAGAAGTGCTCTCCTCCAGCCGATTGACCTTAAATTCTGATTGGCTGATGATCACAGAATTACACAAGGTCAGTAGATCATACCTCTTCTTGCAGAGCAAATCAATTTGACCATCATTCAGCCTCATTATTTTTTACAATTTACTGTTAAAATGATCGACGTAATTTGATAGAATTATCAAATTCGCCTTTTTGCGCTTCGATGAGCTGTCTGTTTATCAGAGCAAAGTGGTCATTACTGTGTACGCCGCTTTACGCGAAATTTCACCACTTACTAACTTCCATTTTCTAACCAAAAAAAGAACTTAACATCAGAATGAGGTGGTGATGGTGAAGATAATGTACAATTGTTTACTTGTCATTACATCTAATTTAAGAATAAAGAGTCGGAATGGGAAGACAGATGAAAATTTTTTTGCCATTATTAGGTGTCGCTGTGACTCATTCCAGGTGTTTGTTTATGCATGAGAATACTGATGTGCGTGCAGATGCACTTCTTAGGTTTTTCTTTTTCATGAAGGGCTCCCCTCCTCCTCCTCCTCCTCCTCTGGATGTTGTTGATTCCGCTCGCGTTCACGTTTGTGTTGATGGCGCTAATTCGCGCTTCAACGCACTAACGCACGCACGCAGGATGAAGCGTGCTTTGTATTCGTGGTTCTCTCTCTCTCTTTTTTTCCTGCCCTCTCTTTTTCTCTCTTTCTATTCTTTTTTTGTTGGTAACATAACACTGGAGAATGGAATTAACGACTACAACAAATAGTAGCTGAGACTGGTATCAACACGATCTCCTCCTCCACCACCACCACCACCGCCTGGTCTGTTGTTCATGGCTTCTGGAAACACCGGCCATCTCCATCATTGCCAAAACAAGAATCAACACGTGCAATGGTCAGGAGAGTCTCCGGCAAATCAGTGATGTTCACGTCTAGCCGAAGTGACTTAAATATAGCTGTAACTCTTATAAAATCAGAAGTTCCTTCCATTTCACTGGAAACATGATAAATTGATCTGGACGTCTTCACTCAGAAATGCAAAAGTCATAACCGTCTCATATAGTGGTAAGCGCATCCAGTCCATTAAATTGTAGACCTGCTATATGACAAAATATGACGCCTTGGAGGTGTCGTGATGGATCCAATCCCACCCTCAAATCCCTTCATTACCAAATCTGCTCTCCAAGTTCTAATGCAAAGGCTGAAACCGTTTAAGTAACCTCCGACATCCGTGTTTGCATGTGTATAAGCACAGGCACGCCCTCAAGGTGTAGGGCCACATACGTCCAACAAACTTCAAGTGATTGACATTGTATACGTAGTAATTTGAATGGACTAGTTGTCTTTAGCCGTCACGAGAACTAGCGTCCGACTTCTGTCAATCATAAATGAAGTGAAAAAACAAAAAAAAAAAGAGAACGCTCCTTCCCTCTTGTCTGTAATTGTGCACTAAAGACGTGCAAATCGCCTTCAGGACAGCTGTAATCAGAAGCCATGGGACGAGCTGAAAGCCTAGTAATCCTCAAGGTCAAATTATCCCTCCCCATCCCCCACCCCAATTAAAAAGGGATTCCGCGTGTGGAGATGTCATTTGATAGGTCCTATGCCCTCTGTCTGTGGGATTGCAAAAAAAGGCGGGAAAACAATTGACAAATGTTCCAGCGGTCTGCACTCATACAACTCGACGGCACTGTTTATGGACTCTAAGTCCAGTAGCAGTGAGATCGGACTCGCCTGTCCCCTTTTTACTGTCAGTGTAGTCACCCAAGACCGTACCTTGTCTTAAATCTTCTTTTCAATGCAAAAAAATTTCAATTCTATGTTAGACTGTCATGCGATAAAACTTGTGGAAGTACTTGTTAGTGTTGTTAAGATCAATAAATGACCTGACCTTCTTTGCATTAATAGCATCCCTATCCAACAGAGGATGAGAAGCGACAAATTGCCAGTCAGACAAACTTGACACTACTGCAAGTCAACAATTGGTTCATCAATGCTCGTCGTCGCATTCTACAACCCATGCTGGAGACGACAGGTCCCTACACTTCAGTTGGTCGTTCGGCTTCCGGTGATGGCATGACTGGTTGGGGAACGCATAAAACCAAAAATGGAGATCAACCGTTAGTGAATAAAAAGAAGAAGGCTGCAACAACCAGGTTAATGCAATACTTATCACTTATTAACGACTTTCTATCAGATTAATTTAGTCTGAAAGGTTTTAACAGAGTCTCTTTGATTCAATCACTTCTGCTAAATCAGTGTGGGGAGGGTGGCACTGGATTCGCTGTGTTTGCTAGTTAGAGGTGTTTGGGGAAAGGTAAAGAGATGCTACAGGAGGAGGCGCTGTGACCTTAGATAATGACCATTATGGGAAATTCTGTGAATCTAGTGGGAGCAAACACTAACTGTGTGTGCCCTCTACACCTTTGATAGACCATCAAACAACCGTTTCTGGCCAGCCAGTCTGGCAGCTGCAGCGGCATTGTTACCCAACGCTGCTGGAGTTATCTCTGGTGCCACCTTAAATCGGAATGCGGAGACTACTCTAGTTTGGACCAAGTCACACAGCACTCCATCCAATACACTCTCGGGAGGTGTACAATCGGGAACTTTGCATGATACCAGTCCCAGTGGCAGTGGTGGTGAAGGTGATTCTAGTCCATCCTCCCTAAAATCACGTCAACGAAAGTTATCATTGATTGAACCCAAAGATATGCGACAGGATGGGGTGTATGGTGATTTTGGAGTTGGACGATTCTCGCCCTACGCCTACCATCCGGAGAGCGGAGTGACGTCGGTTATAAGTAAGTGTGAAAAGGTTTCTTTCCTCCTTTCGCATGTGTATGAAGATTCAGTCAGGCACCCACAGAAATTCTGAAGTGGAGGTATTAGGAAGGATGAAGGGGGACGAGGTTTGTAAAACAGAATTCCAATGCAATCAAGTACTTTCAAATATTTTATTTTAATCTAATCGTCAACAGATATCTAATTTCAAATAAGAAGGATGAATTGTGCAAAAATTTGAGAATCGTAAATTAGGCATGAGTCAGAGTAATGAAAGATGCCTCACCTACATTGTTCACCTCTTTTAGAGCCTGAGGCACCGTATGACTCGAGAGCCTTGAATACAGCTACCACCTATCAATCCTTTCTTCAACATGCCTTCCTGCAGCATCAGCACCATCCGCCGAATTCGGACATAAAAACATCGCATTCATTGCCACCGCCACCACTGTCCCAGAACTATACCAATTGGTCACATTTCTTGGAGGATAGGCATCCAACCCAGCACCCAGATTATGGCGTACCTGAATCGCCTAGTACAGCCATTCCACAGTATACACGATCAGAAGAGGGCCTCTATTTCAGTGGACATCCAGCATCGTGGAGTTACAATGCAACAGCAAGTCAACCAGTATCAACAACATCTTTAACTATTGGTGGAGGCAGTGTTTCCACGGACATTCGATGTGTTCAACCTGATACTACTTGGCCTTCAGTGAACTCCGGTACCTATCCCACATCCTCATTCCCCGTGGAAACAGAACGATCAATTCTATGACAAGCACATTCGATCGCTCATTCACACACACGTACAAACATTGCAATTGCATATTTCTGCACTGACACCACTTCTATGTGAACTTTCGTTTCGTCTGTTTAGAGCACAGAAAAAAAGAAGAAGAAGAAGAAGAAGGGGGAAGAGAAGGACAATGAGTCTCCACACGTTCACATTTGTGCGTGTGTCTGTGTGTGTACAGATGAGGCGTGAACCGTTTGTGGATTGTAAATAGAGAAACTTAATTGTTTGAACAAGTAAATATATTCACTCAATTTTCGAATGCTCTCCTGAGTTCATTCAATTTCCACGAAACTCAATGGAAGGAAGAAGGAAACACAAAGAGAGGCGATAATGAAACTCCTAGTAGGTAGTATCCATAAAAAGGTGGTGGGATGACTTTCAGTTGAGATTCAACTCAGGTTTATTTATTTATTGTTCTACATCCATCGGGACTGTTAAATGAGGGTGAAAAATTCCCCACACATATTTCGAATAGAAAACAATAAATATTGAAGGTCGAAATGGTGTTAGGGAGTTTTATGCTTCTTTCATGCAACTCAAAGAAGACGCTAAATAAGAAACAGTTTATTAGGTTAAACGTAGCAGAAAAATTTTCTGCCTTAAGGCTGAGGGTAAGAAGCTCGGAGACAAACGTTAAAAGTCATTTCGGTTCAAAAATGTGTAGTGACAAATTTGATGAGTGAATGAGAAACGAGACAATACGGTAGGCCATCGGTATGGTGCACTTCTACTAGTCTAAATTCATCGATATGATTCAAAAAATATGTTTTTGGCAAAGTAGGAGTCAACCTTTGATGAGGCAAGATGAGATATCCAGGTTCTCAATACCATTAAAAAAGGTAATTATGTGC